CAATTTTGAGATGTGCAGGTCTCTTAAAGGGAGAAAATGGTTACTTTAAATTATCTATAATACAGGGAGGACCAGAACTGCTTAGATAAATAAAATCTGTAGATACTTCCAGTTTTTTTTACTGCTCAATAGCGTTAGTATCTTTCTTACCAGCCAATTCATAAAATTAAATCAAGACAAAATGTCTCATTTAAAATTATCCACTTGGCCGCTAGTTTCTGTAATGACTACACTACAAACCAGTAAAAACTGAGGAGGAGGAGGAGGCAGAAGAAAGATGTTAAGAATCCTAAAAATCTGCAACAGTCATACAAGGGGTTTATCTGCTTTCTGTAATCTTAAAGTTATTTCCACTATGGTAGTTCAGAAAGGCAAGTAGATAAAATGCATCCCTGAGATGAAGTTTCTTTCACCCACCCAGGACATCTTCATAGAAATGTGACTCATAAGTGAGAAACACACATGCCAACCAACCCCAGACTCTTGGAAAACTAGACATTTGGGACAGACACGAAGCAAGTTCAATATATACATATAATACAAGTAGCCAAGGAACATAGTTAACCATAGAGCTATCACATCATTCAATATACATTTATCAAGTGTGTGTTAGCACAGGCACTGAAATGCAAAGATGAACAAGACAGCATTTCCCTAAAGATGATGACATTTGTGCTAGAGTCCCACATAAATAGGATTCCAGGGTATACCAGCAGGAGCACAGACATGATGTGGAAGGGTCTGGGAAGGTTTCATGGAAGATACAGAGTCCAGTAGAAAACATTTCAGGATCAGCCCAAGTTTATTTTTTTATTTTTTGGTACCAGGAATCGAACTCAGGACGTTGCACTTGTCAGGTAGGTGCTTGTGCCTCTGAGCTATATCCCCGGCCCAAGCCCAAGTTTAAAAACCAGCCCAGTGACTGGCTAACTATGTGGTTCAGGCAGTTACATAACCTTTTTAATACTTGAGTTCTCAACCAATAAAATAAAGGCAATAATATCTATAGATCTAAGAACAAGGGAGCAGAAAAGAGATCACATGGGGAAATCAGCATGGCTTCTTGAAAATACTATGTACTTGATAAATATATTATTATTGTTATTGTTTATTATTATTATTATTATTATTATTATTAAGACTTAGAAAATAAGTGACCAGAAATTGATGATGTCTTGTTAGAAATAGCCACTGGTCTCATCACACCTTGCTGGGTTCGTGTGTATTATTTTCAGCCTGAATTAATAGTTTGGCTGGGGGTTACCTACTCTTGTCACTAGGAAGGCGAGGCAAAGTAATGTGTTTACAAGAGTGATCAAATTCACAAGCGCCTGACTTTCCATAAGGTTGGAGTTCACTGAAGACAAGAATGCCAATGTTATCACATGAGCACATGAAATAGTGTATGTATAAAAGCAAACACAGGAGGTATTTCCTACAGTAGCAAATATTAGTGCATCTGATTAACATATTACCAGTAACTGGCAACATATGGAATGGGAAAATTAGGTGGACGTCGAAGAATGTCCATATATGGTGCATATATAATACAGGCTATATAGGAAGCATCAGAGGCAGTGAAGGGATAAAAGACTGGATATATAATGAAAAAGCATCTTAAGGACCCTGGATGTCACATATAAGAGCTCACCTTTAGCCTGTACGCAGTGGAGAAGCACTAGCTGACTTGAAGTAAAATACTTTAAGCTATTGTTCTATTGCTTCTATTATCATATGCAAATCTAATACAGTATTACATATGCTCAAAGCTATGTTTCTTCATTTTGAAGATGTTCCTGCTGTATTTACGTTTGCAATATTTCTGTCAGCTGTATCATTAAAATAAATCCTGCATTTTTTAAGGTAATGATAAGCTAAAAATAGGGATTGTAGATATCCCAAAAAGACACTATTACTTGTCTGCCTGTTACTGATAAAAAGTTCTTTTAATTCAGGATGCATTATTCAATATCTACTACATGAAGTGTCAAACACAATGTTAAATTCTTGATAAAACCTTTAAAGTAATCCTGTGCTTAGTGTAATATGCATCTTCTATTCCTATGGTGATTTAAGAAAATGTATTCTCAACTGGTCTGTTTTTTTCACACACTTTAAATAGTACAATAGAAACTTTGGAGTTTTCCTTTAAACAATTTCCCTCTAAACTCTTCGATATAAAAAAAAAAAGCTGGTAAAAGCGTTTTTAAAAGTCTCAAGAGTCAGGTGGATGTGAAGTGAGGAGAATGGAGGAGGAGTAAAGCAGCCCAGTGAAGTGCTCTGTAATTAAAGTCTGCCGTGTGAAGCGTCTCCCAGAAACACAAGAAGGCTCAGTCCCACTGATACGTTCTCAAGAAATCCTCACTCTGAGGGTATTAACCCATCAAAACAGTTATTTCAAGAGTGGGTTCCTTTTATCCCTACAGATTAAAAGAAACCACTACCTTCACTCACTGTTGAATGTTTTTCTATTTTCATTTCTGGTTTCGCTCCTATTTTGCTTTTTCTTACTGGTGAACTCTCTCTACCACTCTTCAGATAAGTGATGTAATTTCTGTAGAGTGGAAAAAAAATGAAGCAGGACAATGTATTGCTGAGCACAGGACTGAGGGTCACCAGATTTAGACTTGGTCGCCTAAGGCCCTTCTGGCCAAGGGACCATGTAAGCCATCTGGAGCCCAGTTCGCTTCTCTGTGATGTAGGATGTGTCTTTGAAACGCTGCCGACTCTGTGTTCTGCCATCTAGAGCAGGATGAGAAGCATCACTAAGGCGTAAAGACCTTGTCAAAGGACAACAGGTTAAATGCGCTTACTTCCGGATGGGTGGATCTTCTACCCTCCACACATTTGTGTGCTTGTTGCCTCTGTTCTGTCTTTTGGGGATGGGTTTTCCCCCCAGGTGTGGTCCAACAGTCTGCATCGCTCCTTGCTTACAGAGTGCAGTCTATGGCACCCATTCCTTTCATCATCTTTGTCTTCCTACAAGGGGGTGTATTAACAGCTCAAAGCTTATGGCTATTCTGTGGGGGCTACAATTGAGTTTATGGAAACGGCTTTTCCCTTATTCACTCTGGTACTCACTTAGCACTACTGGCTGGGGCAAATCGAGTGATGCATATGACAATGCTTTTTCCTCAAGAAGACGATGATGGAGGGAGAAAGGCCAGCACTTAATATGTTAAAGCAAAGATTTAAAAAAATATGTGACAACAGGAACTTGTAATCACACTGTAATCTACGAACTAAACATCTGGTGTTGTCCAGGTAAAATGTAATATTATACTAAGCATCTCTTGTTGATTCCTAGAAGTTCTCTTGGAACATCTACTGGAAGGTCAACAATTCTGTGACTATTTTGGGTGTGGAGCACTAGGATTTGCTGGGAACACAGCCTTAGCTGCTGCAGTGTTGCAATTAAGTAAGACTGAGTTTATTCCAAGAAGTACTTGGTTAGCCACCTCTGAGCTAATATGTGATTTTTTTTTAATCCTTGTGTTTAATCTGTATCTGAACTTCACTGATTTTAGCTACTATAATCCCTGGGTCCCTGATCAGAATTTTCTTAAAAAAAAAAAAAAAACCTGGCATGTTCTCATAAACTGCATAATCAAAGGGCCCATTTCCCTTCCTAGCACACATATACCCTGTGCAGTGCTGGGCTTTTGCAATGGATGCTGCATATTTACTGCAAATATAGCAAGACTGCCACAGTTCCTAGCATATTTGATTTTCACAGAGAATCACATGCTTTTTCAAGTGTTGAGTCAAAGTGTTAAGTAAAAGTTGACATGCCTACAACTTATTTTTAAGTAGATCATAATTATCCACACTAACTGAAGTACCAAAGTGAACATAAAAATATATACCCTTGCTAGAAAGATCTAGCTAAGAAAGTGTGATTAGCAAAATTGAAACTGCTAAATTTCTTAATTATTTTTAATTAACAAATTGTTATCAATTCTGTTTAAAGAATTTCTAAAATATGTTATTGAAGTTAAGGTGGCTATTTAACAGAAAGCTTAAATATAGTTCCAAAAATCAAAATGACAGGAATAACTTTTTAAATGTTTATTGATGTGTATTTGTATTTATGCAGCAAATTTCAGCGACTATATTCATTTTAAGCTTTTTGGAATGTTGCTTTTCTGTACAAACACAGTGCTCAGGCCCTACCTGAATTAAAACAAAAGTGACTTGTTCCCATACTTTATATATGACTTTCTAATAGCACCAAGATTTCAAGGCCAAAACTTTGAAGCTAGGGTAACTATTTCTCAAGTAATAATCATGGATTATGTTTTTTTTTTTCATTTAAATGGTTGCTCTCTCATCCATGTTCTTGGCTGATATTTATTGTGGCATTTGTCATCAGGTGCCAGTTACTTGGATACACATCCATTTTTTCTAGTTTGACATTTACCTATTTAAGTATAAACAACCTGATCCCTGGCTATAAAACGAACTGGGATTTGATGCTTCCCACAGCCTTGGCTCCCAGTGGTCAGAGGCAAATCAAGTGCAAGAGCACGAAGCTCTGTGTCCCCTTGACCACACTCCACCCCTCAGCATCTCTAGACAAAGAAATGGAACGCACAGCATCCTCAACGTAAGGCGCAGTCTCCTAACTAATAGGCTTAAGTAGTTTGCATAGCATAATATTGACTGTTGGGTACAAATTAATGCAATATGTTAACAGTTCCAAACCAGACCAAAATTCAGAATGAGAAACTCAGTCAAATGTTGGCACACTGAAGGACCACAAAGGCAACAAAGAACCATGACGAGGTAGCAGCATGGGAAAATTTAAGCAACATTAATTAATGATGAGCAAGCAAACACAAATTTTGTAGCAGGCTGACAAAGGGGATTTGAAAGTCTGGATTAACTCTCGGTAATGTGGGACACCACACCAATGTGGGAGTGGCTCTGGTGATCCTGAGGCTCCCCACGATCTGTGCTGTAGCGTCTGTGTCAGCATGTGAAGGGGGCGCTGTCCTTACCTCCAGATGCTCTAAGATATAGGGCGGATTTGTCATGCCAAGCCTCAGCATTGCTCCCTCGGGAATCACTTCCACCAGCTTCCACAGGAGCGTGGGGAGATCGGTGCCAATATCTCTGCCGTAGGCCCCTGTGTCTTCACTGGTCAACCATATCTCACAAACACCCTCTGTGAATCAAAGGAGATAATTAACAAATCTGTCACAAAGCTGTTTCCTCCATCATACAGCTGCTCACTCTTTTTAATGCAGTATTTCTCCACACTATTATGCAGGCAGTCTGGCTATTCAATTGCAGAGAAAAAGCAGCTTATCCCATGGTGGCAGTGGGTTATTAAGTTCATTTTATGAACACCGGAGAGTGACAACAATGCTGTAAATTATCAGTGTGTCCTACGAAGTGATTAACATTCACAGCCAATCAGTTCAACCATGCTTCCCTCACAGCACTTTCACCAAGGCTAGAACTTCAGTCCCACCTCTGAGAATATCTATTTAATGAATACCACAAGCCCTGGAACTGAACCAGTTACTCCACTAAATAGGTACTGTCAGCAGTTAACTTGCTAATCAGTCTGTCACCAACCCAAGAAAAAATGTCAAGTATAGTAAAGGATTAACACACAAATTATTAATAATAAGAAATTTCATTTTACCTATAGTAGCTATTATAATGTCTTCTTTATTTAATTAAAAACAGTGTTCATTTTATTGCTGTGTTCAAAAACACTGGTCACTGTATAAACTGTGTTGGAAACTCCTTTTACTGACATCTTGCATCCTGTTTTCCATCAAATAGGAAATGCATTTATATTTTTATTGGTAGAATCCTGTCTTCAAATATTACAACTTGCAATAACATCCTTTCAAAAATTAAGAGGAAATACTTTTTGGATCACCTAGTGCTATTTAAAATAAATAAAACAGAGTAAGCAGGAGGCATCCAGGTTGTCCTGGTACACACTCAGAACCTTCCTGAACCCATATTCAATTAAAGGATTAGCCTATTTTAAAAGGCCAAATGATGTGCAGTGTAAAATAAACAATGAAATGAACCTGTGAAATTTGTTCATGCTCAGTGGTTTGTTGCTTCTGGAGAACTTCAGCACACAACACAGGCACATAAACTAAGACTTCAGCCCAAATCCAAGTGTGAGTTTCTAGAAAGTGTCTTGAAATTACAATTTTAAATTGTTTTTAGTTGACAGAAGATTTTCAAAACTACATTTAGATTTTCCTTGCCAAGAGAGAGACAACAAATAAAACACATGGCTTTTTATGTGACTCTGGACTTAAAATTTACAGAATAAAAAAAGCAAAAAAGACAAAGATCTTCATGCTCCTTAATATGTTCCATAGTTAGAAGACCTCCAGTCACTATTCTCTTCTATAGGATAAGAGATATATTTACTTTATCAAAAAGTCACTCAACCCGTTAACAACATTTTCACTTTTCCCTGCCTGTCTTATCTTTCTGAAATACAGGACTCTCACTCATACCCATACAACCAGAAAAATGCAGACGGAAGGAAAGTTTAATTTCCCCAAATTAAAAGAGTCACTGACTTAGCAATGAGATCAGGAGATTAAAAAAAAAAGACTGGTAGGGCTGGGGATTTAGCTCAGCGGCAAAAGCGCCTGCCTGGCAAGCGCAAGGTTGTGAGTTTGGTTCCCGGTACCGGAGAAAAACCAAAAAAAAAAAAAAAGACTGGTAAAAAAGTTGGAAATGATTTTAGTATTTAAAAATCAGCAGTGCTATACATACATGGGCTTTCTTAGTTGAAATTAAATGCATAGGTTCCAGAAACAATAAACATTTGCTTAGCTTTTATCATTTAATAAAAAGCTTTATCCTCTGCAAATAGTCTGGCATGTCTATGTACTATCTAAGTCTTACAATTTTATAAACATTCTCAGTACACAGAACAAATATTTCTCTATTTAAAGTGGATTACAATTAATGGTGTCATCTTCATTTTAATAATATAGTCCGTCAGACCCTGGACTCATACAACCTTTATTTTAAAAAAATTATCACAAAATCCACTCCAGGAAAAGAGATGGCTAAGTAACAACATAAACAGATTTTAAAACATTCTGAAAGAGGTTATAAAAACAGGACATTATCCATGATTTTCCAGTTACTGGCATTTGAGCAACACAATATGAATATTTTTAAATGAACAGAATAATTTTAATTTATAATTTTTCCATCCAAATGGTTCCATGTTATGCCTTATGTAGAGGGAGCAAGTTCCTGGAACAGTGCCTTGCTGTTGCTAGATGAATATAGAAGGGGAAAAATCACTCTGAATAGGAATGGAAATAACATCCATGCAGAAAACAGCAGTCTGCTCTTAAAACTGCAAAGGTGGGGACCAATAGCCCCCTGGTGGGCTGAAACTTCAAATTAAATCTCATAAAGAGGAAGCAGCTGTAACACTAAATCAGCAGCAACAGGAATAACTGTCTGTATGTTTCTAAGATCAAGGCTGCTAAAATTCTCTATGTAGCAACCTGGTTTAAAACACAAAGAGAAGTGAAAGACTGTGTAAAATATGAAACCCCTTGTCTGGAGAATATCACCTTGCCATTCAACCTAAAACTGTGTCAAAGAAGAAGTTGCAGTTAACCAACTTGAGAAAGCTGAGATTTTTGTAAGGTTATAACAAGCATTAATTCTAATGAGAGTTGACCTTTCAATCGTGAGACACAAGAATTATTTCATACTAAAAGTAGATTCCAAATGTGGAATCCTCACATGTGACATCCTTCCTCCTGGGAAGTCTCGTGATGCTTCACGTTGCAAGTGGTTCTCGTCAGGAGAAACTTGCATATGAATTCACCAGGGAACCTGAGGGCTGCATTAACTGCTAATGGACACATACTGGGACACACGCATGTCTAAATCTACACACTTAATTGGCTATCCTGATGGGCAGAAGTGCTTGGCTAAACAGCTTCACTCCTTAAGAATTTCAGTTATAAAGCTATATTGCTTTGCATATTCATTCTTTTATTTGTCCATCAAACATTTACTAGGCCCTTACCTACATGTGCCCTGCAGCTCTTTCGGCTCACGATACATACAAATTCATCATTAAGTTGGACCATCACTCAGGCGCTGGTAAGCGGCCACTGACACGCACCAGGAGAACTTTCTGAACATCCCTATGGGTGGTAGAGGATGGTCTTGGAGAACACAGAAATGAAGAAGCAGCAGGGCTGGCCTCAAGTAGATACACCATTTCCAATGAGAGAGCCCCATTCTGCAGTGTAACCTGGACTTTGATTAATACACGTCAGAAAAATAAACACCATGAAAATGAAAAAGTGAAACAGGAAGAACTAAGATAAGGCAATTAAAAATTTCCTATAAAAATACATGCCAAAAAAAAAAAAAAAAGAAAGAAAGAAAAGAAAAGAAAGTAAATGGCAGGTAGAAAAGTAGTAGACAAAAATCAGCTTTCTTTTCCAAAACAAAATTTTATTTTCCTAACATTGTTCATATACCTGATGTTGGTTCATTTTCCCAAAATTGTCCAGATTACCTGACTTTTGTTAAATATGCCAGGTTCATCAGATCATTCAGCATCTTTCAATGTTAATTTGAGTAAAAGAAAAAGCAAATATGGGTGAGGAATGAAATACACTGTAAAGGAGAAAATCCTAATAATATTTTTAGCTATTAGAATCTATTATCATCTTATCCAAGCAATTGCAGATCAGCCTAGTTATCCTGAACAGAGACTAATGGGTGGGGGAGTATAGCTCAGTGGCACAAGCGCCTGTCTCAGAAATGCAAGGTCCTGAGTTCAACTCCCAGTACCAAAAAAATCCCAAAAAAAACAACAACAAAAAAAATCAAACCAACTAAACAGATAGTAAATTCAATAGCTGGATTTCGCTCTCTGTTCCATAGTAATTTGAGGTGATAGAAGATGGAAAAAGTAGAAGACATAAAAAGTTAACAATAAAAGAGAGATCATATACTCAATAGAATATTCTCACAATAAAGAAAATTCTGTTTGAAATATCAAACTTTGCCAAATCTCAATCTCAAAAGATTCTGCTATGTCTGAACTTTACTGAAAGATGGGTAAAGATTGACTTCATCTGGTTAGAAAAAATAATATTTCTCTACTAGTTATTTTATCATTAAAGAAAATTTCCACCATAATGTGTCATTTCAATTATTCCATTATGAATAGTGTTTCTAAAAAACAAAGAGAGAAAAGACATAAAAACTGCAAACAATTATTAAGGGGATCAAAAGGTAAAGGGCACTAGATGGCAGGGAAACATATAATTAAAAATTTTTTAAAATCACATATTTTGAGACATACTGACATCTGTGATTATACTTATCACTGAAAAAAATGTTGGTATAAATTGATAATATGCTGCTAAACAAAAGCAACCTATTTATTTCATTGGAAAGGTCACAGTCCAAAAGAGTATTATTTTCGTTCTTTTACAGGAATTTAGAAATACTAGCTAGCAAGCTAAAAACAAACTAAACACCATAAAAGGATGATGTATGTTCTAAAAACATTGCAGTTGACTTTCCGGGCTCCAAAATCTGTAACAATGCTGCTGGAGCAGATTAAGTTACCTTTTTAATACTGCAGTGTATTACATTCTTGTGGGGTAGTTTTAAATACTCCCGGCAAGATCACAGACAGAAATGTCTAGGAAGGAGCCCTCTTGAGTTTCAGCTGGATGTGAGGAAACATTTTGTCTTTAAGAATCACAACAAGGTCGACTCCTAGCAGTCTAAACAATGGTGCAAAACAGCACAAAGAGGAAAGAAGAAAATAGTTAGATGCCTGTTCTCAAAAAAGTAGACCATGATAGTGGACAGAAATTTGTCTAGATCTCAACTCAAGACTAAAAGAATTGTAGCATAGTTTAGGGGAAAGAAAAATAAAGCCAGGAGGATTTTTTCATTATCCAGGCCACTGAACTTAAGTAAGAAACGAAGAACAAGTAGAACTTTGACTTTTAAAGCAAAGAATATTTTTCTGAATAATACCTTCTGGTCCTAAAGGTTCAGTGGCCTCCAGCAAAGGCATAGTCAAATAGTACCTGAAATTCTTTAGTTATAATTAGGGAAATCTGACAGAATATAAAACTTTTAAATTAACTTCAAGTATTTAAGCAGCAAATA